TCCAAAGTGATTCTCTTATTAAAAATGCAAGCATGTGAAACCTCTAGATCTAGATCTAGAGTCTAGTCCTTTTCTGGATTAACGTGGGTCCAATCGAGTGTACGATATATGCACAGCCGCTTGGAGCTGTGACTAGAAAGCACAGTTGAGTATGAATTATCACATGTACGCAGATGATAAACAGTTGTATAAATCTGTTCCACCACTAGATCTAGATCTAGGTGTTAAAACCTTTCCTGCCACCATGGGTATGTGCATTGATGATGTCAAAAACTGGATGATTGATAATAAGCTTCAGCTTAATGAAAATAATACTGAAACTCGTTTATGTAACCCAAAGAAAAGCTATATCCCCATAGACGTCGAGATCTAGATCTAGATGTAGATATATCTAGATCTCTAGATCTAGATCATGTTTGTACGATGTGTAAGCGTATGCGTGTGGTGTGTGCGTGTGAGTGTGTGTGTGTGTGTGTGTGTGTGTGTGTGTGTGTGTGTGTGTGTGTGTGTGTGTGTGTGTGTGTGTGTGTGTGTGAATATTGTTCATACATGCATTTATATTAAGCACCTAGAGCTGTGTTCGTGGGCGCTATAGAAATGGTCTGCATTATTATTATTTTTATTATTATTATTGTTATTGTAATTATTATTATTATTATTATTATTATTATTATTATTATTATTATTATTATTATTATTATTATTATTATTGCAGCCTTAGAGACTTTCTTTACAATAAAAGGATGGTGCAACACTGCTGCATTTATTAGTGTACTAACAGAGCCTCCAAAGGAACCCCTCTTTCATTTCATTTGTAAGAATAAGATTGATGAGAATTTAGACAGATTAGATCTAGATCTAGACCCAGATCTATGTTTTGAAGAAAATATTCAAAGAGATTAAGAGCATGGTCTGATCAATGCCTACCTTTCAGTTAATTGATATCAAATCCAAGCTTGATCTACTAATCTGAGGTACCAATTTCACTCACTTAACTCACAGAATTAAGATATATTATAGATCTCTCTCTATATATTATATATATATATATATATACATATATATATATATATATATATATATATATATATATAAAACACAGTAATATAACAGCATCATCAATCCTAATTACTTTTATGGGAAAATGATGGATGGGAGTAGCCAAAGATAGGCTTGTGTCTAAAATGTATGAAGGAGTGTATAGATTAGATATCTAAGTTCATTGGTGACAAAGGAAACCATAGTCAGAGTGCGTTTGGTGCTGAGCTTGCTATATATATGCACAGCATAATATCAGTTATCACTACACTGTGTAGACAACTAATTGTCCAGGCTACAAAACAACATTAAGTTCCCTTTTTTATCTTTAGTGAATCCAGAGCTTTCTCAGTTGTTTTGCTAATGCCCCAAATGAGATATACTTAAAACAGCAATAGAAGGAACTTTAGTTTAAATGCTGTAGATGTTCTACTTTAGTTCTTTAAGAAAAAAGATTTAATACCGATATAAGAAAACACTACTTGTTTGGTATAGATCTAATTTTTTTTTAAGTGAACATGGAATGAAAAATACAGTTTCCTATTCAAATATCACTAAGGAAAAGTTTTACTCGATTTTTAAAATACTGGTAGGCCTACATGTATCCATCATTTGTTTGGTTGAATTTGCTTTATGAAGAGCTTCAGTGCCTTCCTACACCTAGTGGAAGAAAAACTTGAATTTTTTTCTATGGCTCTATAGATCTACGTTTTGATTCAGTCAATAAGAAATAAACCACTCCGTAGATATAGTGCTGATGAAGAAATAAAGGGGTTTTTTTTTTCTTTTTTAAAGCCTATATCTCTATCTCTATCTATTTAATAATACATTTGTTTGTAGATCTAGTTGTAGAAAGAACGCTGTAGTATTGCTATTTAGTAACCTAGATAGTACGCCACGGCGCCCATGTAAAAAAAAAGTTAACAAGGACCAACCCTCGCCTTATCGCGTATGAGGGAGAGAGAAAACACGCCTAACCCATTGCTTTAGCTTGAACTCCTTCACACAACTCGCCCACTGAAACATGGCGGACGCCGCTGTCAAATGTGGCCATCGCGCAGCAAGGCGAGAGAGGGGCGTACTGTATCTAGTGCCTATAGTGTACATCTATGGATTTATCTGACAAAAGACGATGATACAAAATGCGCGCCTCTCATTATATCGTTTTAATATCTTCAGTACCGTCATTTTTCTTGCCATATCCTTTGTCGAAAAAGCTTTTAAAGAAAAGAAGTCAAAGAGATCATTTTTTTTCTCTCTTTGCCCATGCACAAGTTATTGCATGTGCGCTCAAAATAGGCGAGATGTTTATTTAATAACTTTTTGCGTGGAGAAAGCACGAAAAGGCTAAAGTTTGCTAATTTCTTATAAACTGCGTGTGCAAACACTCATTATGATGAAACACACAAACTTTTTCCAAAAAAAGGCAAAATCGGCAAAGGTTATTACGCTCTTATGTTTGCAAGGCTTGATAACCATATTCAAATATCGCCATGTACTATTAAAGTAAGAAACGTTTTCACAATGCTGTCTGCTGAAGCTGTAACTCATCTGTTAGTGTAAAATATTTAATGGCCCTCGAACCAGACCGCCACTTACAAGACCTTAAGAAGCACATTTCCTGCAAATCCCCCCCTCCCCCTGCCTATGGAGGTATCTTTTTTGCGTTAATATCCTGGGAGTTTCGGAATATCAATTTTTAATGTGGGTCCCTATTTTCATAATTTCCGAACTGTTTAATAGGACTTGAGTAACTGCAGCAGCGGTCAAACTAGATCTTTTTGCTGTTCATTGGGAAGGGGGAGGGAGGCTGATAGTTGAAATGATTTCTGCCCCGCTCGCATGCGCCATGTAAGAATTAGTTTCTCTTGTTAAGTCCACATTGAGTAGTCTGGAGTTCTGATCTAATCTGATCATACTTCGACCACATCAGACTTATACAAGTTTACCCACCTTCTCCCGACCATATAATGTCAGCTAAGAGTGTTATTTCCCCCCAGGGTAATGTGATAAGAACGCCAAAACACAAATGACCATAAAAGCCTTAGTGTTTTCATCACCTAGAGCTGATCAGGTCTTTCAGCTTGTCTCTCCCAAATAGTAAGAATAACATGATCATGACAACGCCGGGTCATCGCATGCAGGAGAACCTAGTTTGATTCCCGCTTTGCAAGAATTTTCATCATGCATCCTTGGTCTTTCTTTTGTGATGTTGCATCCCTCTCAGCCCAAGTTGGCCCTGACAAACAGGGTCGAAACCCGCCCACTAAATGATCTATTGTGTCAAGAGGGGTGTAAAACAGCAGTGGGTGACATCGAAAACGTCACCGCATCTTCATTCCACCTGAGTATCTCTGGTCATTGACGGACCCCAAAAGCTTCCAGAAGAAGAACAACAAGAACATCCCCCACCCCTCCCCCTGAAGTCTCCGGTCGTTGTCTTGTCATGTGAATCAATTGCCTAAATGAAACTTTGACAAAGAACAGAAAGCAAATCCCTTCGACAATATTCACCTTCTCATCTCAGAACAAAGGTTGTTCTTCTAGCCAACAATTTTCGGATCTATTTAAGAAGTTGAACACGATTAACAGAACGGACATTGTCGCCACTAACATTGGTGACCTCCGTGCATGGTGTCTGTACTCGTATATTACCCCAGCCTCGTGCCAGAGGCTCCCACAAGACAAACACGCGATCAACTCATCACAGCACAAGGGCAGAATAGATTTCAATTTAGGGTCTTTTTTCGGGAGGGGGGGGGGGGGGGGGTGACGCTAGTACCTCTTTACCATTCCATTTCTTCTGGCTGTTATTTCCACTTTCCTCTTTGATTTTGATTTTTATTTAGGGCGTGATCTCTTATCAGAGATATCAGAGATATTATTATTTAGTTTCTCATCTACTGATAACTTGATTTCATTCTAAGTATAACGAAAGTCCTTTATTTTGAGAGTAATCTATTGTTTTGCTTGTATCATAAATACCTTGATTCGTTGATATTGACCTTTGATATTTGAGAATGGAAAGGTGTTAATCGTACCACTTTTTGGATTTGTCTCTTGACCTTCAGCCGGCACAGAATCAACATCTTCAGTTCAGCGGAGTCAACAAAAACGTGTTTTTTTGGGGTCTTTTTAAAGGGGGCGTGCTTTTACGACCCATCATCACAATTTAGATTATATTGGAGTCAGGCTTCGAACCTGCCTCTTACGACCGACCCGGACTGAGAGGGATACAGCATCCCAGCAGAAAGACCGAGACACTCACTAAAAATTCTCCCCACATTGGAATTGAATTCGTTCGACGGTGAAACGCCTAACTGCTACACCACATTCGCCCGTGCGGTGTCTGCACGATTATGATAATCTGTCGCAAATCATAACCAAAACAAACAAAGAGCACCCCGAATTCTATTATCTATCATTATTTCCGAGGGTGTTCTTTTGTTGTTGTTTACGTCAGCAATCGATATGTTCAGTTTCACAACTCTATGAAATGACGTCTTGGATTTGACAATATCCTTCTTTTAAAAGAGAAGGCAAACACACTAATACTCTTTCTTTCATACTACATATCTATTCAGTCGGTCTTTCTTAACTTCGGGAGTTAAGTCGAAAATCTGTAGTAACCTTCCCGAGCCCATCCGCAGCCACGCTCGCATAGACACAGACACAATGCTCTCTCTCTCTCTCTCTCTCTCTCTCTCTCTCTCTCTCTCTCTCTCTCTCATGATACACGTAATAATATTATTATAAAAAAATACTGTTACAATACCAGGCGGTAAGAGCCTTGTTCCCGTTTGATCTAAATATGATCTATGGGAGTGTAAAAGTTAATAAAAAAAAAAACCCTCACAAAAAGCAACAAAACAACAATCCCAAAAAGAAAACAAAATAAAAAACAAACAACAACATCAACAAATAATAAAAACATTTTTAACTTAGGATACAGGATAACTCACCAGATCCGGGAAACAGATGTTGCACATGAACAAACAGGCGTGATCGGGTTCCATCTTGGACAGGGATATGGCCGGCTGGACTGGGCCAAGTGGTGATGACGTCACAGCGGTCAGCAGGCACGACAGGGAGATGGCCAGGACAGCGAGGATCATGGATGACGTCATGGTGTAGGTTCCTGTGAGTTCTAGTTATGCGGTGTGTTCTGGCAATTAAAAAAAGAAAGAAAAGGAAAACAGATAATAATGGTAATAATTTTTGTCTTCTGTCTACATCTAACGCTGAACAGAAAACCTGTAACAATAATACTGACATTTAAATAATATTCGTAGAGCCATACACGCGATCATGTTTTACTTACTTGCGTACGCGCGCTCATATGACCTTATGCAGTTGCGAGCGCCGTAAAACCCTATACTAAAGAAAAACAAACTTACTTGCGTACATAAAAAAAGTTAAATGCAAGTTGCTCATGCTGTTCGCTATACGCATAATTATTCACCCAAATTGCACCCACACAGCTCTTAGCCATTAGCGCTTCGTTAATTGATCAAATTCCGAGTCTGGGAAGAAGCATGAAACAGAGTAATGTGTCTGAGAGCAGACTTCACTTTTGTAACTCCTTTTATCTTTCTTTTTTCTTTCGATTTTGTCTCTACGGTGAATTGTTTTTCTGCGTGTTTTGATGTTTGTAATTTTGTTTTGTTTTGTTTTGCTTTTTCAAATTTCAGACGCTAAAATGGTGCTAATTTAAAGACAGCGTTCCACCTAACACGTTAGTGCAACCGCCAAACTGCCAACATGCAGTGTAATGATACTTTATTGTTTCCGGCAACTACACTCCGTTTATTCTGCCACTATTTCAACACCACCTCCCCTCACCTCATTCCCCCCCCCCCCCACTCCCGAGGTCACACAGCTTAGCAAAAAATAAGTTGTTTTCGCAGGGCTCAAATCAAGCTTATCAAAGCAGTCTGCCATTTAAAAGGCCATTTTACGTAATAATGCACAATTGTTCTGGAAGAATTGAATCTTACAATGAGTTAAATCAGTTCCAAATTTGTACTGATTCAGGGGGTGCCCTCGTTCGAATTTTTCAACTACAAGCTTGCCGTTGCAAACGTTATATTTGAGCCTCTCCTTACCCCACCGCCACCCCTCCTTTGCTGAGTCTGGAAGAACAAGAACCCAATGCCCCTGAAAAGACTTTATCGTACTTTAACTTATCCTACTCCCTAACTTTAGAGAGCTGAACTTGAGCGACCGCGAATAAGCACGGACAGAATGATATGTATGTAAATAAACCCCATGGATAACGCTAAACAGAGTTTAGCAAATTGTTAAAGCCCCCCCCCCCTCCCCGTCAGTCAATACAATTTTTCGAACTGATTTACCTCATTTTAAGTTTTAATTTTTCCTAAATAACAATGCACTATCAGGTAAAATGGTTATCTTTACAGATGGACCGCTTTGACAAGCATGACTTAATTCATAAAAAATGAATAACGGGAGAGACTGTAAACGTGTATTGCAACGAGAAAAAAGATATACAAAGGAAAGGCTACTTCCTTTCGTCTCGCTGCTTCCACACTCAATCATATCTTTGAAGACATTCGATACAATAGTCTGCCTTGCACTGGAATTATACTCAACATTTTTTTCTCTCCTTTATATGACAAGAGCTTTAACCATTACTCCGCCTTCGTCGATAGTCAGGAGGGTAAAAATCAGTTCTTGCCAAGCCCCATGCGGTATTTTGGCATTCCTTTACTAAAATAAAAATTTTAGGGAAGTGATGACGATTTAGCTTCAAAATTTGGTCACTCTACACGAGGAGTGGATATAAGGAAAGTGTGTTTATTTTCAATTGGACTGGACTGTGTCAAGCTACCCCCCCCCCCCATGGACAAACGAACCAAAAAAAAAGTCTACAACAACAAAAAAACAAAAACAAAGACAGCATCAACAAAACAACCTCCCCCCCCCCCCAAAAAAAAAACCCAACAACAACCCAACCTCGAATAACCAATCAAACAAATAAACAAACAAACAAACAAAATAAAACACCTCCCGAAACAGATGAAGCTCAAGAATATCCTACACACATGTGATTTGTAGACATGTTGTCTCTTACCAAGCGCCTTCGAGTTAATAGCGGACAAGCCGGAGAAACCCACGCTGGGATATTGAGTTAGAGAGGCAAAATCCCCCAGTTTTTGTATTAAATGTATTTAGTCAAAAAAACTCTTCCCGAAGCTAATAGCGAATTTGATCTCAGCAGAAGAAAGTTTATTCCCCTTTGGAATGTAATCATAAATACTACATTATAATGATATAAGATATATAATTATGCGTCTGGCATTTTCACTAATTCCAATAAATTGGCAGACAGCATATTGTATTACTGGAATGAAACCAAGGAACATGCATGCTGTCTCGAGATTCGACATCACTTGATTCAAATCGTATTTGACCTGGTAACACGAGAGTTTCTATCAGTGTATAAGATCATCTATTCCTCTATTTCCCTGTCTCTGTGTCCATATTGTTGTCTCTGTGATCCCCCTCTTCTCTCTCTCTCTCTCTCTCTCTCTCTCTCTCTCTCTCTCTCTCTCTGTTGTGTGTGTGTGTGTGTGTGTGTGTTTGTGTGTGTGTGTGTGTGTGTGTGTGTGTGTGTGTGTGTGTGTGTGTGTGTGTGTGTGTGTTTTCCCCTCTCTATCTTCCTTCTTTGAGTTAATTTCAACCCGAAAAAACATTTTAAACTAAAAAGCGCAGTTAGCTCAAGCGAGTAGTTTACATAGAGCTTTCAACTTATTATGATGTAATAACTTATCATCGTATTAAGAATAGCTCTTAAAATTGCAAGCTCGATGTCACTGCAGCAATAGACAACTTATATGTGGCAAGTAGATAACGTAGATGGCCCAAGTAGGGTCTTAATACGATAGACTTATACTTGTTATGTAATGAAATTCGCGTAATTATATAAAAGCTTTGAGAAACATGTTTTTTTTCTATTGGATTTTTTCTACATTTGCACTGAATTTCATCAACTTGTTTCGAGGTCCATTTCTTGCCTATATATTTGTGTTCCTCGCCTTTCTTTGTAACAGGCAAATTGCTTTCATGACCCATGAAACATCATAATTAAGTTAATGTGTGAATAAGAATCTAAGGGAAAATGCATTCACTTGTGACATATTAGGTAACCAATGTCATTGGATCAATAACGGGTGTAAGGTACCTTTCAACGAATACATGACAAGACTTTCTGGAATTTTCCGAAATCTGCAACGAGCTTTCTCCTTATTCTCATTTACGGGTGTTTTCTTCTATCGTGTTGGCTTCCCTCTTTGTTTTTCGCATACATAAGATCCTTTAAGCGGAAGATGGACTTAAATCTGGAAAACGCAAATGAAAGTAACAATGATGCATAGAAACTTACTGCCCTCATCATAAGGGCAACTTATCGAAAGCAAAAGTATAATTTTGCGCCCAGTTAGGTGCGTTATCTATAAAGAAGCTGTAAGCTTGCACTCCTGGTTGACAGTCCAGTAAACACAGGGAGTAAGTAGTTACAACTTGGTTTCACTTTTCTGTTCTTTGAATCATTCATATTTGACTTTTAGTCCTTCTGGGCTCAAGGAAAATTGAGATGTCTTGCAGAGCGAGATTAGGTCCGCAGAGACCTTACAAGGGCTTCTTCATCTAGCTAATAATCGAGAAAGTACGGATGAATGAAATGGCATGGTCGATTTCGTTCTAAAGGGAGTAGGAAAAGAGGGCTTGAGGTGATGGTACAAGCATGTTGTGCGAAATTGTATCTGATAAGTATAAAAACTTGAGCTAAGAACGAAGGAAAGAAAATAAGTTGTTCATTGCAAAGGTGTTTCCATCTACACTCATTGTTTCCAACCAAAATGTTCAGTAGAGAGAATTAATCAAAGCTATAACATCTGTCCCCTTATTCTGTAATAAACAACCGCACAAGTCGTTTTTACATAATATTCTAAAGTCTACACGGTAGTGAAAATGGTTATTCAGACACAGAAAAGATACAAAGAGAAAGACAGGCATGGAAAAGGGAGAGGTAGAGAGAGAGAGAGAGAGAGAGAGAGAGAGAGAGAGAGAGAGAGAGAGAGAGAGAGAGAGAGAGAGAGAGAGAGAGACAATATATGCTTTGCTTTGCAGATTCTCTTCTGTAATATGTGATGTTTAGGCCAGCAAATTAAGATTTAGGGAAAAATCCCTCTGGGGGAAATAGGAAATGTATAGCACATGTCACTGTCATAGAAAAGATAAATGTATCCATGGACAGACAGAGATATGTGGAAATTCAATAGACGAATAACACTGGCTGATGCTTTTTGCGAAATTTTGCAAAATCTCTACCGAACAGACTGACATAGAAATTGAAACCGCACATGCAAGCCAAAAACTGAAGGTTTACATAGAGGTTCAAAAAGTTGCTTAGATAGTTTAGAATTATCTTTTAACATTCCTTCCAACATTCCATTCCTGCTTTTGCAGAATTCTAGCTGGGTGAGAAAAGATGAAACGGGGGCATACGAAACGAAACAATAATATTTTCCCTTTGACATCTGAGAATCGAGCCCCTGATGTTGAAGAAGTAGTTGTAACGCTATCAGACGAAAGTGAACAGTAAAAGAAAAAAAATCAATTAAAGAATGACAGTGTCTGGGATGGGTTGTTGGAGTAGAATGGGGGAGGGGAGGGGAGGGGTAGGGGAAAGAGGAGTCGGGGGGGGGGGGGGTAAGAGAATGAGATGATACTATCGGTGACGAAAACTGCGGGACCTACAAGAGCCATTTAATGAAAGACTCTGTTCTTTCCAGACTACCCAGAGTGGGCGCGACGCTTATATACAACACTCTTCTGTTTCAAGCACAGAGCAAGGTGAGCAATAAGAGATGACAACCAAACGTTCATTGTAATATCAGCGGGAGCTATTCTTGGGCCAAGTAAAGGCTGGAAACGTGAGACGTTCTGCCTAAATATTATTGTCTTTTAGAATATCAAATCATTTCTAGAAGGTATGATAAAAATGAAATGTTTGATTTCCATCTGAACAACATCGAAGTATTTCTCTTTTTGAACAATTTTCAACCAATTGCAATATTCCTTTGATTGTTTTGAAATGTAAGGGTATTCATTTCATGACACCATGACTGTCAGTGCAGATTA